CCCCCTCCCAGGGGGAAACCGGTCGCTGTGGCGGGAGCCACTGAGCTCGCTCTCCATTGGGCTGACTCCACCCTGTTTGGAAACCCCCTTCAGGGAGTTGAAGGCTGCTACCAAATCCCCCCTCACTCTGGTCTTCTGCAGACTGAACAAGCCCAAAACCCTCAGTGAAGAGGGAGAAACAGTAACAGGAAACTTGGAAATGGCAGAGGTGCTTCATGATTTCTTTGTTTTGGTTTTTGTCAAGAATACGGATGATGACAGGATGCCCAACACAGTAGTAGTGGGAAGGGGGTAGTGGGAAGGGGGTAGGTTTAGAAGTTAAAATAAAAAAAGAACAAGTTAAAAATCACTTAGGAAAGTGAGATGTCTGCAAGTCACCTGATGAAATGCATCCTAGAATACTCAAGGAGCTGACAGAGGGGGTATCTGAGCCTTTAGCGATCATCTTTGAAAAATCATGGAAGTCAGGAGAGATTCCAGAAGAGTGGAGAAGGGCAAATCTAGTACCCATCTATAAAAAGGGAAATAAAAACAACCCAGGAAACTACAGACCAGTCAGTTTAACTACAGAAAGATAAGAGAGCAAGTAATTAAGGAATCCTTCTGCAAACATCTGGAAGACAATAAGGCGATAGGGAACAGCCAGCATGGATTTGTAAAGATCAAATCATGTCAAACCAATCTGATAGCTTTCTTTGTTAGGAAAACAAGTTTTGTGGAAAAGGGAGAAGCAGTGGATGTGTTATACCTAGACTTTAGTTAGGCATCTGAGACGGTCTCGTATGATCTTCTTATCAATAAACTAGGCAAATACAATTTAGAGGGGGCTACTATAAGGTGGGTCTATAATTGGCTGGATAACCGTTCTCAGAGAGCAGTTATTAATGGTTCACAATCGTGTGGAAGGGCATAACAAGTGCAGTTCTGCAGGGGTCTGTTTTGGGACCGGTTCTGTTCAGTATCTTCATGGATGATTTAGCTATTGGCATAGAGAGGACGCTTATTAAGTTTGCAGATTATACCAAGCTGGGAAAGGTTGCAAGTGCCTTGGAGGATAAAGTTGTAATTCAAAATGATCTGGACAAACTGGAGAAATGGTCTGAGGTAAACAGGATGAAGTTTAATAAGGACAAATGCAAAATGCTCCACTTAGGGCAGAACAATCAGACTCACACATACAGAATGGGAAGCGACTGTCTAGGAAGGAGTCATAGTGGACCACAAGCTAAACATAAGTCAACAGTGTGACGCTGCTGCTGCAAAAAAGCAAACATGATTCTGGGCTGCATTAAGAGGAGTGTTGTGAGCAAGACACGGGAAGTCATTCTTCTGCTCTACTCTGCGCTGATTAGGCCTCAGTTGGAGGATTGTGTCCAGTTCTGGGCACCACATTTCAAGAAAGATGAGAAGAAATTAGAGAAAGTCCAGAAAAGAGCAACAAAAATGATGAAAGGTCTAGAATACATGATCTGTGAGGGAAAACTGAAAGAATTGGGCTTGTTTGGGACCAGTTCTGTTCAGTAACTTCATCAATGATTGAGCTATTGGAAAAGAGAAGACAGAGGGGACATGAGAGCAGCTTTCAGGTATCTAAAAGGGTGTCACAAGGAGGAAGGAGAAAAATTGCTCTTCTTGGCCTCTGAAGACAGGACAAGGAGCAATGGGCTGAAACTGCAGCAAGGGAGGTTTAGGTTGGACATTAGGAAAAACGCCCTGCCTGTCCGGCTGGTTAAGCACTAGAATAAGTTGCCCAGGGAGGTTGTGGAATCCCCATCTCTGGAGATGTTTAAGAGCAGGTTGGACAGACACCGGACAGGGATGGTCTAGAATTGGTGCTGGGTCCTGCCATGAGGGCGGGGACTGGACTCGATGCCTCTCAAGGTCCCCTCCAGTTCTAGTCTGTGATGCTCTAACTCCAGCCAGAAGGACCTTCAGCCAATCAACCCGGAAGGGACCTTCTGTGCCAGTGCAGCTTCTGCCCAACCTGCCTGCTGAGGCTTTGACCATGGAAGGGTTTTGATCCCCAAAGGCAGCTCCCGCAGGCCCCGTAATCCCCAGGCCACCCCACTGGCTCTGAGCATGGCAGGGAACAGGAGGGAGCAGTCGAACAGCGGCTCTGAGGCCACGCAGACAGGTCGCAGAGCTGGGATCCTGAACCCTCCTGCTGCAGGGACGCCAGTGTGTGCGGCGTGCACGGGGGCCCCAACGCAGCGCACGGGGGTGGGCAGGTCTGGCCTGTGCTCCACGGGGTGAGACTAGGAGAGCTCAACGGGCCCTTCTCGCCTGGGAAGCCAGGGCCCTGCGAGCAGCCCTCTGCAGAGCAGCAAGGACAGCGGCTGCAGGCACGAAGCCTGGCGGGTGCAGAGGAGAGTCCCGCCTGGAGGGAAGCAGCAGACAGAGGAGAATGGAGACAGGCAAGGGAGGGAGGGAGCCGGGGACACGGGCATGGACAAATCACAAGGCGGCTCCAGATGGTGTCTTGGCAGCAGGAGCCATTGGGGGGCCAGGGCAATGGGGGAGAAGAGCTGCAGTGGAGAAAAGAACCGTTTATTCCCGACTGCCATTGGCACGTGTTCAATCCAACGGGTTTTTCGGGGTCCCCGAATGTCCCCTGGATCCAGGCGCCCACGTCCGTCCAGGGACCCAGAACGGTGCACCCGCCACGTGTGCGTGTCGCACGGCGCAAGGCTGGGCCACGGCGGGAGACGGGGGGCAGGACGAGACTGGCATCCCCGGGCAAGAACCGTTTATTCCCGACTGCCATTGGCACGTGTTCAATCCAACGGGTTTTTCGGGGTCCCCGAATGTCCCCTGGATCCAGGCGCCCACGTCCGTCCAGGGACCCAGAACGGTGCACCCGCCACGTGTGCGTGTCGCACGGCGCAAGGCTGGGCCACGGCGGGAGACGGGGGGCAGGACGAGACTGGCATCCCCGGGCACTTTGCAGGTGTGTGGCCCGGAGCTAGCCCAGAAAAGCTTCCTCCCGGCCCTGCTGCGCCTTGGCCCGCGGGCGCTGGAGCAGGCCAAGGAAACCAGGCTCCTGCCCAGGCCTTGTAGGGAACTGGCCGCTCTCCGTCCCAGGCCCGCTGCCCTGCCTCCACGAGCGGCGGTTCCCAGGGGTCTGGGTCCAGAAACGCCATCGCAGTCCCACTCCTGGCGCCTGCGGCTTCACAGCTCGTCCTTCCCGTCCACGCCCTGCCCAGGGACCCCCGCCGTGGCAGGTGGCGCCGCTTCCGGCCCCTTCACCTCCGACAAATCCACCTCTTCCGTGCTGAAGAGCATCTTCACCAGGTCGTCGGCCTGCACGCGCTCCTGCAGGGCACGGACCGGTTAGCGCCAGCCCTCGTGGCACTGGGCGGGATCCCCGGGGAGGACACAGGCCTCGGCAGGACCTCCTGGGTCAGTGCGGGGCAGCCGGCCCCTGCCCCTGCCCGCCCGGCTCCCGGGAGGAGGCTTCGCTGCCTTGCCCCAGGGTGCTGGCCAGGCGTTCAGCTTCCTCTCCGCCCCGGCTCTCAGCAGAGCGCAGCCGCCCCCCAGCCGGGTAACCGTGGGAACGTGGCCTCCACTCAGCAGCTCCACCCGCTGCACGTGGGCCAGGCCGGCTCGGAGAGGCAGGGCCCCCTCTCTGCACCCCTGCTGCGCCAAGGGCGAGTTCGTCCCGACTGCCGCCCTGCACCGACGCTAACGGCCTGAACTCACCCGGAGTCAAGTGTTCTGGAGTCAGAGCATCCGCACAGGGAGCAGGTAACGCACTTCGCGTTCACACCCGACCTCACTCCGGATTAACTTCCATGTGCAGACAAGTGCGGGGGGCGAAGCCGGAGTGCCAGCCCCGGGCAGGGAGCAGCAGGCGCTGGGGGACTCTGAGCCCCGGGGCAGACAAGCGACTTACGGTCACCGTGGTGGCGTCCAGCTTGGTGAAGTAGAAGGCTCCTCCTTCGAAGTCCCCATTGAGGTACAGGATGGCGCTGGAGGTAGACAGGGCAGACCAGCCGGTCACTACCCGGCGGCCGAGGGCTCAGCCTGGCCCCTGCCCCCAGGCCGCCAGCAGGAGAGGAGACGTGCCAAGGAGCAGGCAGGGCGATACTGCGGAGATGGGTCTTGGTAAGGGCCCTGCAGGGCAGGTGCCGGCAGCCTGCCTGTTACTGGGGCAAACGGGGTCCCCCGCGGGGCGGGAAGGCAAAGATCGGGCGACCAAAGGCAACCAGGCAACTGTGAAGGGCAGGGGGACTGAGCTTGGCTCCGGAGCGTCTCGGCTGCTCTGGGCTGTACCTGTAATCCCGGAAGGTGTACGCCGGCGGCTCCTTGACACACACCATGGCCTCGGCGTTGAGGATGCAGTTATCCACGTGCACGGCGTGGCTGGAGTCCGTCCGGTCCGCCTGCTTATCTGGGATGGAAGGCAGAGCCGGCCCTGAGACACAGGGTGTCCTCCCATGGTAACCAAGCCCTGCACCCCAGGGCACTCGCAGCAAGGGGGCCCCACCCCCAACACCCTCTGGCCTGCGATGCCACCGGTGGGCAGCAGCGGCTGGCAGAGCGCTGGTCCTTTGTCCCCTGGCCTACAGGGAGCTGCCCTGCTCCAGGGGTTAGGGCTGCAACACCCCAAAACCTGCCCGATCACCTCCCTGGACCACACGAGGCTAATTCAAACAGTGCCCCATTAGAACCATCCCACTGCGCACCGGCCACGTCTCCTCTGCATCTCTCCCCCGCCACCAGCCCTGGGGCCGCCCTGCGCGTGGCAAACGCAGAGGTATTTGGGGATGGACACTGCTGCGAAGTCCAGGGCTGAGCTCTGCTGAGGCGACAGGGCTCAGCTTGCAGGGAGCAGGCAGGGCCTTGGTCCTGTCAGTACTGATTAGCCAGGACAGGCAGGGCAGGTGCGCCTGGTCTCTGGCTGGGGTCACGTGGTGATGCCCTGCTCTGTTCCCTCCCCCTGGGGCACCTGGCCTTGGCCACTGTGGGCAGACAGGGCCCTGGGCCAGAGGGCCCTTTGGGCTGGCCCAGCCTGGCCGCTCCGACGTTCCTGTTTAGGGCACACGGCCGACACACCCACGGCGCAGCTCTGCTCTACCAGGGACTATGGCCGGTCTCCACTGGGCCGGGGGCGAGCTGCAGCGATCCATCCACCGCGTCCGCTTAGACGCGATCAACTAACGGCCGAACTCCTCCCGTCCAGCCACAACTCGGCCGGGACGGGGGAGCCGCCGACCCGACTGCCGCTAAGGACGTCGATTTCAGCTCCGCTTTTTGATTAGACCCACGAGGCCTGCGACATCATCTTCTGCCACCGCGCAGCTCGCTCCCCACAGCCCCTGCGAGCCCTGCAGAGCCAGCCCGGCCCAGCCCGGATGGGGCAGCTGGGTTCCCCCCTCCCGCACATCAGGACTGGCTCGGAGGCTGCTGGGCTGCAGAGGGGGCAGAACCCAAGTTCCTGGGCAGTTTCCCGGGCACAGAGTGCAGCCCCCCCCCCGGAGAGTCCCCCGGCAGCAGCTGGCCAGAGGATGAGAAGGGAGACGTCCTCTCCCCGGGGCCGTGGGAGGGGCCCTGCCAGGCCAGCTGCTCACCCTCGATGGCGGTGCGGCACACCAGGTGAGAGTAGGAGAAGTAGAGCGGCGAGTCCAGGCGGAAGTAGGACTCGGCCAGGCGCCGCACCTTCTCCGTCACGTTGTAGTAGAGCCGGGCGCTGCGCATGGGCACCTTGCCCTCCTGCCCCAGCTGCAGGGAAAACGGAGCATCAGCAGCAGCCTGGCTGGGGGAGGGGCAGCGACGGGTGTCGGGGACGGGGGCAGGTCTGTCGGCTCCCCAACTGTGACTCTGGGGTCCCGGAGGGGCAGGGCACGCACTCGGGTCCCCCATTCCCCACACTGCCCTTCCTCGGGGCTCCCCGCATCCGTTCACACCTCCGGGTGAGAGAAGAGACGGGGGAGAAGCATCTTGCTAACGCCCCCTTCCGGCCCATCCTCCCCTCCAGCCTTTCTGCCCTGCCCGCGACCCTACCTTGAGGGCCTTGAGAACCGTCACGCCATAGAAGGTCTCGCTGGGAGTGTGGGGGGAGGTCTTCCCACGATACCCATCCCCCGCAGACGCAGCTTCCTGCGAAACCGAGGGGCAGACGTGAGACTGGCTCCCGAGGAAAGGGCAGGAGCAGGCACCGGACAGGCCAAGCCCTCAGAGCCCCTCGGCAGGTTGGACGGGGCTGGAACCTGCGCCCTGGAAAGAGCACTGGGGCCTGGCCCCACTGGAAACCACAACGTGGCCCCAGTGAATCCTTCCGGGGCCCTAACCCCTCACCGTGAGCCACAGCCCCCCCCGCCCCACGCCCGCCTTCTCACCCACCCCCTCACACCCTGGCCTGGCCCTGCTATGGGCAGGAATCAGCCGCCCTCATGCTGCTGCTCCGAGGCCCCACCCTGCAGACCCAGCCCTGCCCCCGCTGGCCAGGTACCCTGGGAGCCGTGCCCTGGGGGTGCCCTGAGCTGGGGGCGGGGGACAGGAGAGCTGCCCTGGGGAACTATGGTCCTGGCTTCACTTCAGGGTTTAATTCCTCCTAGGGGTTCTCTGTGCATTGCATTTTTAACCAGGTGGCAGCCCGGCCCCTCCCTGCTCTCCACACTCCAGCCCTCCCCGGTCGCCTCGCCGGCTCCCCCCCAGCTCGAGCCGTCCTGCCCCAGCCTCCCCCGTCTGCCCGGCCTGTGACCAGCTGCTCACGTTGGTGAGTTTCTGGAGCTCCCGACACTCGTCCTCGGAGATGACGCCGTCCACCACCACTCGCTGGGAGCCGTTCAGCTGCCTGGAGTTCATGGTGACGCTCAGCCCCTCGTACAGCAGCGGCCCCCCTGCAGGCCAAGGGCGAGACTGGGGTCAGGTGCCCGCGCGCAGAGGCGGCCCCAGCTCCGGCAGCATCGAACGCCCTGCTCCCTGCGCGGAGCCCCCAGCTGTGGGCCGCAGGGGGCACTTTGCACCACGCTCCCTCTGACCTTCCCGCACGAAGCTGCTCACGTCCACAGACTCCTTGGTCTTCTCCTCCACCAGTGTCTCGATCTCCTTCATCAGATTGCCAATCTCCTCGGAGATTCGAGCGGCCGTCTCGCGCTCCACCCTGGGCAGAGACGCTGTGAGAGCCTGTTCCGGCCCCCGGGGCAGCCGCCTTAGTACTTTGCACCACGCTCCCTCTGACCTTCCCGCACGAAGCTGCTCACGTCCACAGACTCCTTGGTCTTCTCCTCCACCAGTGTCTCGATCTCCTTCATCAGATTGCCAATCTCCTCGGAGATTCGAGCGGCCGTCTCGCGCTCCACCCTGGGCAGAGACGCTGTGAGAGCCTGTTCCGGCCCCCGGGGCAGCCGCCTTAGTGCCTGGCTGGGGGCTTGGCAGCCTGACCTGCCCCGGCCACCCC